AAAAAATAAAATTCCAGACAAAACGAGCATTGTAATTAAATTGTAATCAGGATATTATGATTTTTGTTCTATTTCTTTTTTTTTTCTTGTAATTTCTTTTGTATATTCCTAACATGTACAATAAATATTTAAACATACATAATATTTATATGGATTTTTATACATATGTGTGTGCATGAATAGATCTGCAATGTAAATAGCATAATAACATTTTAATATTAGTAAAATATGATAGTAATTTGATATTTTTTCCTATAATGAACAATATGATATAATTGAATATCAAGTCAGGGAAATTTTTTTTCGTATGAACAAGTTTTATTTAACTTGCATAACAATGCTTTAATATGGGAGTGAGTTGCTTATTTCAAATAGGTATTCCGAATAAATTAGGGGATTATATAGATTGTAGACATAAAAAAATGATTACTAGAATTTACTTTACCGGAAATATTGTGGCTAGAATTTCGAACGAATGTGTAACATTAGTTTAAACATTCACGCAGTCAATGATTAAGATTGAAAGAAATAATGGAAAAATTTACTTCAAAATTTTATTTCATAAATTTACTAAATGTAATACAAAAAATTGTTTTTTATACCCATTTTAGGAAAGGAACACGGTTTCAAAATTTTCTCAACTAGTTAGAGAGAGACATGCTAAAATATTTGTTCACTTGTTCATAAAACTTCTATCAAAATTACTATTGAATTCAAATTAATTCTTTTATGAGTTTTAAATAAAATTAAAGGTAAACATTCTTTTAGCAATAATAAATTTTTCAACAGTGTACAATAGTTAGACTAGAATTACAGGAGGAGGCAGGATGCTATTTTTTTCGAATGTCAATTTCGGTCAATTGCGATTCAGGTCATACTGCACTTACCAATGTATGTGAATGTCTTGTAGGTTTACTAGGTTAGAATTACTGGAGTCATTGCAACTTTCAAAACTTAATGATAATTAATAGAAACCAAATATGTAATTGAAAGAAAATGGTAAACTTTTATACACGTGCGAACGTATATTCGAACGGTTTACCAAATTAGCCTTACCGTTTGTAACGCTAAGAAATATGATGTGAAATGTTGACATACATGGATGTTTTTTATCAGTGTCTCTTTCTGAATCGATTTATGTATTTCTGTCCTTCTGTTGAAATTTTTTTCAAATTATATTTTATAGTAGTGATTTCCAAAACTCTATTTAAATTGGATGTAATCGAGACAGTAGTTCGGGTTGCTGCCTTGCAACCTCAAAAGTTATTTGGCTATATCTCAGGTATTATAAAACCTACACTATTGAAATTTCGCATAAGTAATTATTTTATTAGAGTTCTTATATTTGATAAAACGAGTTGAAATTTCTTGATAGTAGCTGCCATAAAACTTCGAAACGCATTTGGTTGTGTATTATGGAAACTATTGAAAAATTACAGTGCTGAAATTTTGCATAAACGAATAAAAAACCAGCATTACCCATGGAACATAGTGACAATTAAGACGCAGCACTTAAAATCATTCATTCGTAAGGGTATCACAGAGTTAATGCGGTCCACACTACCTATTCTAATTTTAACTTAATTTCACAATTAATTAAATATTTTTTAATAATATTTATATTAAATTTTCGTCTTAATTTTAAATTAAATTAAACATGCATTATAATAAATAAAATATCGCAAAATTTCAGTAAAATTATTTTAAAATATAAAATTATGTGCATGTATTTGAGAAAATAATATTTTAACCTCTATGATTAATTCTCATAGGCCAAATTTTTTCATATATAATTACACTTTTTGTTCATATAATTTTGTTATGCAGTGAACCAAATAATTTAATTATCTGTATAACACTGGAAATATTTATATATATACATTTTCCTTATTTTAAAACAATGAAATGAATTTTAAAATTCCTCCACCTACATATTATTTAAGTACAATGTAATATTGTAATGATTTATAATATTAATTTAATCTGCGGTAAACTAAATACGTGTGTAGATATTATTTAAAATTAATACCATTAAAATGTAATAAAACTAAATAATTTCATTATTAGCATTAGTTTTTTAATTAAATTTTTATCTAAATGCACATATGCATTCAAGTTTTGTTTACAATATTATTATTCCACTATAATTCTCTTGATTCACCACAAAATATTGTGTAAAAATTTTTTTATCAACCATTTATATAGTTAAAATAAGCACCACATACTCATACATACGTATGTATGCCAATTAAAAGGTGCAACTCTATAAAATTCAATTAAAACAAAAAAAAAAAAGAAAAACAAAAATAACATACGTTGGTTTGGCCTTTTGTGTATTTTTATCATACTGTAAACAGAAGTTTTCATTTTATTTTATTTTTACATCAAAATGAAAAACCAGCCATCCACCTTTATTGGATTATCTGAAGAGTGTGTGTGTTTTTTTTTATTCACATTTTTTTCCTTTTCCTCTTTTATATTATATAATTTTTGTGCAATGATTTTTTTAAAACAATTCACTACTGGTTCATTTACAAAGTTGTATTGGAATACTGTGGTGATCGGGGTAATTTTAAATGGGCGAGTTATTTCAATCCTTTTAATTCCTCTTAAATTCCTCTTACAATCCTTGTTAGAATTTTCATTGCGCTTTTCCTATAAATGTATACGTTTTTTTTTTTTTAAAGTTTACAATATTTTCAAATAGAAAAAACTATTGTACATTAAGAGAGAACAGGTGAAATCTATATGTATTTAACTTTTGTGATTTTTTTTTTATTGTTTTCAATTTTTCATTGAATTAAGTCTATATTTCATTTAATGGCTATATTATACCGGTATTTTCACATAAAAATGTATCCTATAAATGAATAAAGTTATGTACACACATAACTATTTGTGTAAAGGTGAATAGACAGACTATCTAGGATTAAAAATAATATTGAATTTTTAAATAAAAAAAATTGATTCGAACAAGAAAAATAAGAAAATAAATAACAAAAATAAATTCACTGTGATCATGAAAAATAATTCATTTAAATAAAGTTTTTATACACTGGATGACCAGACATCCTTTGAACTTTTAACCTTAACAAAATTTTCTATATGAAATCAGAGAATATTTAAGTATATATCAAACGTATTCAATAATTTATTTTTGGGGTGTGGTACACAGTGTTACGTTTTTAATTAGAATGATGAAGGTGTAAGGAAAAAATTTAAAAAACATGTGTTCCTTTAAGTTGCAAGGTTCTCACAATATGTTTTAATGGAAACTTCTTAATGAGAAAATAAAATTTTCTTTTAATGAACTAGAACAAAAATAAAAATAAAGGCAAAAATTATTAAAACAAATGTGTACAAATGACATTACATGGAAAATATCCAAAAGTTTATTAATTTCACATTCACAATATGTTACAGTTAAATTGATTATTTAACTGTATCATATCTAAATGAACATACTAAGCAACAATTTATAAATTTTACAGGAAAAGCAAAAACAAGATGTTACCTGTATACTTGGAAGTTTTTTTATTTTCTTCCCAGATTGTGATACTTACAGTAAACAAGTGGCTTTTTGTACATTTTTCCGTTTGTCGAGTGTAAATTATAAAAATTTGTGAATATTTGATTTAAAAGTCCTTTTAATGGTAATTTTAGAAATCTAAAAGTCGAAATCAATGTTTTAGTTACGGAGACACCTTGCACCCAATAGAGAATTTTTTCACTATATTTCAATTTTAGTTTGTGAATCGATTTTGTTTTTTCATATACGAAAGTTATTTAAATTATTGACTTTAATCATTGTGAATACTGTGTGCAAATAAATCTAATAAGAGACGATAAAGCGTTAATTTTAATAAAAATGAGTTCAAAATTTGAATTTAAAATTCACACAATCTGATGACTGCATCTATAAACATTTTATTTAAATTTCTGGTTTTTTTATAACGTTTTGAATATTTTCACGAAACCAATGTGTAGACACGTAGATGAAAAAGAAAAACTCTAAAATATTTTTTGTAGAAAAAAATTTTTTTTGCAATTGCCAAATACTCAATTTATGTGCTCGAATTTAATAAATGAAAAATTTGATATAGATTCATGAGAAGCGATTTTTTTTCTTCAATCATATTAAAATATAATTGATAATTGAGTAATTTGAATAATGTTTTAGAGCTTCCAAAATAATTTATATATGTAAATGTGATTTTTGCGCACTTCTATTTAAATTTGAATTTGTGATTATTTTCCTTCTTCTGGCTTTGAACGAAAAAAATTATACAATATACTTTAAAATATTTTAAGTTACGTAATCAAAACAAATTTGTTATTGCTAAAAATAATTTCACTTTAATGAAGCTTTTTTATTTTCAACTTATGCTTGAAAATGATTTTATATGTATGGAGTAGTGTTTATACCGCTTTACTATAACACCGGAAACTTTTTAATTATTGAAATTTTGTGGTCCGTGATATTATTTTTGTTTATTTTGGGGTTCCAATAGGATTTTCTTGTTTTCTCAATAAATTTATTCGTAAATTGTTGGTTTTGGAGAAATTTTGTAATATTAAAGTGGTATTTTTATAAATTGCCCAGTATGATATTAATATCAATTAACATTTGTTCAGTTCTTTTTCAAAAAATTCGGAATATTTAAAATAATTGATTAGTTTGAAATTTGTTTCGATTAGATTTTTCATTTTATTAACACTTATAAAAAGTTTTTTTGTATTATTTCAACTGTAATTTTAAAAATTTTCATGATTTTCCGAAATTCCTAAAAATTACGTATCTTATGTTCAATTACAATATTAAGAAGTACAAAATTCAATAGAACTAGCTCGGAAAATATAATCCTTTTAACACAAACGATCTAGATTATAATTAACAAGTAGACGAAATTTAAAATTCATTACATACTTACATAAAATATTAACAAAATTTTTATAATAATATTTTAATTTAATTTTAAAATAATTTTAAAAAAAAGAATTTATTTTTTATAATATTCCACATTTAAATAAACTGGTTCCTTAGGACCTAAGATAAATGCTTGTGGTAGAAATGATGAAATCGATGGCAATGTTTTATCACTCGTAGTAATTTTGAATTTTCCTAAAATAGATGCCAAACCAATATAAGTTTGCATTAAACCAAATCGTTTTCCAATACAATTTCTAGGTCCTTCTCCAAATGGTAAGTATGTAAATTGAGGACGTTTTGCAATATTTTCTGGTAAAAATCTATCAGGATCAAATTTTTCTGGATCAGGATAATATTCTTCATCATGATGTATTCCATACACTGGAACTATGGCTCTCTGACCTTTTTCAATCACATCATTTGTTTCTGTTACCAGATAATCACTTGCAACTTCTCTTAAATTTATTGGAACTGGAGGATATTTTCGGAGTGTTTCGTCAACAACTCTATGCATATAATGTAATTCCATAACTCCTTCATAAGTCCATTTTTCGCCATGCTTGCGATAAACGTTTTCAATTTCTTCTCTACATTTCTGTTGAATTTCAGGATTTTTTGCTAATTCATAAACACAGAAACCTAGAGTAGTTGATGCTGTTTCAAAACCCGCGAAGAAAAATATATATGCTTGAGCTGCAATTTCATTAAATGTTACACGCTCATCTTCATTTGGCGAATTTTTTAACTCTATCATCATATCCAAAAAATCATTGCGTTTAACATTATTCTTTTCGCGATATTCGATTGTTTTTTCTAACGCAGTTATAAAAAATTCACTGACATCATCTCTTTCTGATTTAATATGCAATTTTCTACATAAATTTGGAAAAAAGGTTGCAAATAATCTCATTAACACACCATGTCTTGGTTCTTCAATAATTTTTCTTCCATATCTTCTGAATTCACCATTTGGATCTTTTAAACTATTACATTCAATACCAAAGGCGCAAGTACCTATCACATCTGTTGTAAAACGAGAAAATACCTCTTTCATTTGCAATTCTGCTCTATCGCTTTTGCTGTTTTGTATTGATTCTTCTAAAAATTCTACTAATTTCTCGCCCACTTTGAGCACTGTTGTAAACATAAATTTCATTTTTCCAGAAGTAAAAGTTGGTGAAAATTTTGGCCTTAAATTTCTCCATTTCACTCCCGTAAGACTCAACAAATGAGCAGATAACGGATCGTCTTCTTCATTGTGATAAATATCTCGATCATGAAAATATTGAAAATCTTTTATGTACATTTTTTTCATTAAATCTAAATCTATTATTAAAGCACTTGGACTTATAAGCATATAAATTCCAACAAACGGATGATTTAATTTCTTTCCAGCTTTATATAGTTCTCGAAATCTTTCACCAATCATTACTTTACTTCCAACACCCTTTAAATTACCGTACGGAATTTCTGGTTCCAAATATGGAACCTTTTTACGTTTCCAATACGTAAAACGTATTTTAAGCCATACGTACACTAAAATTATAATTATTCCCAAGTAGATTAATATCATTTTGATATAGAGGCAAACACATAAATTTTGAACTGTTCAATTTGATATTCTAAATAAGACTAAAGTACTTGAATTGAAAAATTTGAAATTTTAATCTTTTTGTGATGTTGCTATTTAACGCGCAAATACTTTTCTATTCTAGGTACCTTAATAGTAATTCAACTTTCTGTTTTTGTTTTTCTTGTTCTCTGTTTGTTTGTTTTATTTTAGGGTAGATAGAATAAGAACTTTTTTCGAAACTCTTAAGCAAAATAAAAAATACTTTACAAATATTATAATCGTTAACATTGAAAAGTTAAAAGATGTTTAAATAATATTAAGTATACATTTGCGGTTCTTTTAAGCCCTCTATGTTGCAGATTTTCTAGAATATTGATCGTCATTGCTAATCGGCACCGTCGTGTACCGCCGAAATATTTTTCTATAACTTTTAATTTTTTAGCACTTTTCCAAAAATTTTTTGAAAAAAAGTGCTTATTAGTTTCTCTCTGTCCGTCCGTCCGTCCGTCCGTGGACACTTTTTTTGTTTACAAAATCTTTACTAAAAACATAGATCTTTACTAAAAACTTATTTCTGTAGAACAAAATTTTTACCAATCTCCTTCCCTCTAGAAGTTATACCCCCGCCAAAACCCTAAAAGTGGCCTTTTTTAACTATTTGTTGCAATGAAACCATAAGCATTTTTGAAATTTTGCAAACGCAGAAAGGTAGCGGCTTGCTTCCCCTAGCGCGATACACTATAGTTAAACTTTAGAAAAACAAAATGGCCGTTCAAATTTACCGTTATCTAAAGTCCTTTTTTCCCAAATTTTTGATGTCGTTTTTCTTCTAGACCCCAGCCTGTAGAAGCTTGAAATTTTAGGGGCTTCTAGAAATTATCAAATAATTCATTTCGTTAGAAGAAATTTTTTTTGCATTTCCACCCCCTCTCAAGTTATCGCCTCTTGAAATTTGTAAAATTTGAATTTTTGACACCTTATGTTTCCGAAACCGCAAGCTTTTTCAAATTTCTATAAACGCAAAAAGCTAAAGGTAAATTCCGTGACATTAAAAAATATAATTATTTTTCTTAACTCACACAATTAAATCTTAAAATCGAGCATTATGTTAACCCCACTTTATATTAATTTTTGCTTTATTTCAAAGACTGCATCAATGGTTCATCCTAACTACATGCAATCCTAGAAATAATGTAGTTTTTGATTGAAAATAATTTTAATAGTGTGGCGGATATACATAGACTGTATTTAAAAGCAGAATTTTCACTTGTTGAAGGGAAAAGTGCTACAATACAAACCATTGGTTTGACCCAACTTTATTTAAACTACCGTCCACATTTCTAATAAACAAGCAATATGAAAAATTAATTCAAGAGATTAAAGTGTAAATTCTTATGATTGAATATTTAAAAACGGTTTTATAACTTTATAAGTATAGCGATTATTAGTCACAAATAAATATTGGATTCAAACAAAGTTTTCTTCATTAACAACGGATGTCATCTTAGTATTTTGCCAACACAAAAATATTTTTAAATTGGGTTGTGTTACCGGCGATTCCGCTGTTTACGTAATTCTATTTATTACTTAAGGAAGTCGTCAAAAATATTGAACAATATTAAATATCGCTTGTTAGACACACACTATACCATGAGTTCCGTCTTGAAAATTTCTATTTAGAAAAACAAAATAACTAAATAGTTATGATTGCAAGGTCAAATATGATAAACAAAGTATGGAAAAAAAACTTTGCGAATTTTAATAAAGATGTATTTGTCTAGTCGATCTTCACTCAGATAATGACTAATAAATTTACCAAAATATTGAGTGAAAAAAAAATAATAGAAATTATCAACAACTTAGATTTGCAAATCCTTATGTTAAAAGTGAGTTATAAAAAGTTTAAATGGTTTTCATATGAGCACTTGAACTTATATTTTGGCAATTTTTTGTTCTAAAATATCTGCTTGTTGTTGGTGAGTAAATAATATTATGTTATCTAGGAATATTTTGATTGAGAAATTGGAATTTTCGTTAATAAAGTTATGTATAGGTTCTTGATTTTATAATAAATTTTGTGAACACAAATCCAGGATGAAAATAAAATAAAAATTTCATTTATTAAAAATTTGAATCTACACCGAAGGGTAAGCCCATTTTAGGATTTTTGTTTCTGAAATAATTTTTGTTCCCTTGTTTATTATTTTTCTTCTTTTTAGCACTTTTCCAAAAATTTTTTGAAAAAAAGTGCTTATTAGTTTCACTCTGTCCGTCCGTCCGTCCGTCCGTGGACACTTTTTTGTTTACAAAACTTCTACACCCTTGAAGATAGAAAGCTGAAATTTTATATGTACATAGACCTTTACCAGAAACTTACTTCCGTAGAACAAAATTTTTACCAATCTCCTTCCCTCTAGAAGTTATACCCCCCCAAAACCCTAAAAATGAACTTTTTTAACTATTTGTTGCAATGAAACCTTAAGCATTTTTCAAATTTTGCAAACGCAGAAAGGCAGCGGCTTGCTTCCCCTAGCGCGATACACTATAGTTAAACTTTAGAAAAACGAAATGGCCGTTCAAATTTACCGTTATCTAAAGTCCTTTATCTCCAAGTTTTTGATGTCGTTTTTCTTGTAGACCCCAGCCTGTAGAAGCTTGAAATTTTAGGGGCTTTTAGACATTAACAAATAGTTCATTTCGTTTGAAGAAAATTGTTTTCCATCTCCACCCCCTCTCAACTTATCGCCCCTTGAAATTTATAAAATTTGAATTTTTGACACCCTATATTTCCGAAACCGCAAGCTTTTTCAAATTTCTATAAACGCAAAAAGCTAAAGGTAAATTCCATGACATTAAAAAATATAATTATTTTTCTTAACTCACTAAACCCTTAAAATCTAGCATTATGTTAACCCCACTTTATATTAATTTTTGCTCTATTTCAAAAACTGCATGTATGCGTCATCCTAAATATATGCAATCCTAGAAAAAGTTTTGTATATGAATGAAAATAATTTTAATAGTGTGGCGGATATACATAGACTGTATTTAAAAGCAGAATTTTCACTTATTGAAGGGAAAAGTGCTACAATACAAACCATTGGTTTGACCCAACTTTATTTTATTTTAAGCTGTTTAAACTGATTATTACTAGGTTTATGCTATTAATCTTATTATTGAGTTTTTTAGCGTTAAACTTGTGTGTTATGTCTTGAATTTATTATAAAAAATAAAATTTAACATTGGCAAGCTGTTCTCGATTGAAAATTCACAAAATGCACATTTAGTCTTCGCAGATGTCATGCATTGTAGTCTACTTAAGTTGAGGTAAAATAATAAAGGGTCAATTTTCAAATTTCGTATCCATTGCCTGAGGACCAAACAAAGAAATTATTAATTTTTTTTCAGAATTTTTTAAGCGAATACTAAAATATCTAAGTGTTGAAAAAATGTTACTAGCATAATAAACTTTTTGTTTTAAAGTAAAGTAATTTTTTAAAGTAAAGCAATTTTTTAGTTAGTAGCGTTTCTCTGAAGAGGAATATTATAGTTAGTGCAGCTACGTGTTTTCGAAATCATTTAATCAACATTAATTTGTTCATTTTTTTTAATATATATTTTATTTCACTGAAATTTACTTGACTCTATTTAAATTTTCAAAAAAAACTTTTAAACATTCAAATTTAAATAAAAAGAAATCAATGCGCTCTAATTGAATAAAAAAGAATTATATAATTGCCAAAACTTCAGGTTTTTTAAAAACTGAATCCTTTTAGACAATCAAATAAAATATTTTACACCCATTACGTTGATATAATTTTAACCTTAAAATTAATTTGAACTTGAAATGGTCAATCATATTTTCACTTTCAATTTAGACCTTTTATTTCTTATAGTATTCCACATTCAATAAAATTGGTTCATTCGGAGTTAAAACAAATGCTTTTGGTGAAAACGAAATGCACGGTACCGTTTTATTACTAAAAGTAATTTTAAATTTTCTTAGAATAGATGCTAAACCAATATAAGTTATTAATAAACCGAATCGTTTTGCAATACAATTTCTAGGCCCTTCTCCAAATGGTAAATATGTAAATTGAGGACGTTTTGCAATATTTTCTGGTAAAAATCTATCAGGATCAAATTTTTCTGGATCAGGATAATATTCTTCATCATGATGTATTCCATACACTGGAACTATGGCTCTCTGACCTTTTTCAATCACATCGTTTGTTTCTCTTACTAGATAGTTACTAGTTACTTCCCTTATATTAAGATAGATTGCTGGATACTTACGAAGAGTTTCATCTACAACTCTATGCATATAATGTAGTTCCAAAATTCCTTCATAAGTCCATTCGTCGCCATATTTATTATAAGTATTTTCAATTTCTTCCTTACATTTCTGTTGAATTTCAGGACTCTTTGCTATTTCATAAACACAGAAACTTAGAGTAGTTGATGCTGTTTCAAAACCTGCTAAGAAAAATATATATGCTTGCGCCGCAATTTCATTAAATGTTAAACGTTCATCTTCGTTTGGTGAATTTTTTAATTCAATCATAATATCCAAAAAATCGTTACGTTTGATATTATTTTTTTCGCGAAAATCAATAGTTTCTCTTAAAGCATTCAAAAAAAATTCACTAACATCATCTCTTTCTGTCTTAATATGCAATTTTCTACATAAATTTGGACAAAATTCAAATGCAAGTAATCTTAATAACACACCAATTCTAGGCTCATCAACAACTTTTCTTCCGTATAAACTGAACTCGGCTTGTGGATTTTTTAAACTATTGCACTCAATACCAAAGACACAACTGCCGATAACATCTATAGTAAAACATGAAAATATTTCCTTCACGTCTAATTGAATTTTATTAGTTTTATTGTTACATAATGATTTATGTAACTTTTCTTCCAAATTTTCGCCCACTTTAAGCACTGTTGGGAACATAAATTTCATTTTTGCAGAAGTAAATGTTGGTGAGAATTTTGATCTCAAAGTTTTCCATTTAACTCCAGTGAGACTCAATAAATGAGCAGATAATGGATCGTCTTTCTCGTTATAGTACATACTTCGATCGTGAAAATATTGAAAATCTTTTACGTAAATTCTTTTTAATAAATCTAAGTCCAATATTAAGACACATGCATTTATATACATATAAATTCCAACAAACGGATGACTTAATTTTTTCCCAGCTTTGTACATCTCTTGGAATCTCATGCAAATCATGATACTAGTTCCAACACCTTTTAAATTACCATATGGAATTTTAGGCTCTAAATATGGAACGTTTTTACGTTTCCAGTATGTAAATTGCATTTTGAGCCATACGTAAGTTATAACTGAGAATATTCCTATATAAATTAAAATCATTTTACAGCGGTGTTTTGTTTAATTTAAATTTCTAAATAAAACTGAAGTGTTTAAATTGGATAATTAGAAATATAAACCCAATATTATTTCTTTTGTGATCTGTAAACTATTAACGTGCAAATTATGTTTTTGTCTTGTAGATTTTGTTAACCTTAGCCTTGATGGAATTACTTAATGTGAAATTTTAGGAAACTTGATTATTTATTTTTTTAATTGCATATAGTTAGTTTTCGACACATTTGAAAGAAATTTAATAAGAAATATGCCTATTAATTTCACTCTGTTTGTCAACTTGTTTAAAAAAAAACTTTCAAATCGAAGAAAGCCGAAATTTTGTAGACGAATAAATCTTTCTTGAAGCAATAGCTTTAAAAGATGGGGAAAATATAAGTTTTTAATAATATACAACATCGTCTTTTATAAAAACGTTAGTGTTCAAGTGATTACGGAATTGATTACTCGAATAAATCAGTCTGATTATTGTTAATTCCAAATTTGTTCCAAAACATCAATTTTTGTCTACGTTTTCTTCGATACTGTATGCGCTACCGAATTTCTATAACAACACCTTTGTAACCTTTATAATTTAACTAAATTAACTTGCAATGTCATTAAATCTTTTTTACTAATCTTAAAACTATTATTAATTTAAGATTTATCCTAAATGTATGCAATATTATACTCGCATGATGAGAATTATTTCAACTGAAAGTCCATTTCTTTTTAGATCGAATTCATAGCTATTAGTAATTGGAAAATTGCTATTTTACAAAACTATTATTGTTTTATTCTTTAATGTTTTAGTAGAATAAGTGCAATTTAGCATATGGAAAATAATTTATTCTGATTTATTCTAGTTTCTAGTTTTAGGGACCTACATGAAATTAAATTTTTTGATAATATGCGGAATTCGAATTTCCTTAACTTTGAAATTTTACTATTGTATCTTTTATATTATGTTTGTTAAACTAGGACAAACTATTCCAAAAACAATGCAAATTGTTGTAAGTTTTTACAAATTAATTTTTTTTTTATTTGAATGTTTGTTATTTTAATTTTAAAGAAGTTGAGAGTAAGATATTAGAATGGCCATTTCTTAAAACGAAACAGATAAATTGTTATTTGTTACAAAAAATGAGAAAAAATTAAAAGAGATTAAAGTTCACTTTTTTGCATTACTTTCAAGAATTCACCAGATTTAGTTAATTTCAAAAATTTGATATAAGACACACACTATAATATGGATTTCATAAACAGACTTGCATAGATATTGAAAAATGAATCGAACTGGTTGTAAGCACTAAGTTTTGGAAAAAAGAACGAGAAAAAATAAAGTTGATCGTGTTAACTCTATGATACCCGTACGAATTGGTTATTCTATGTGCGAGTAAATATGCCATAGCTGACTATGGGACAGACTGTGACTTTAAGTTGTCGCATTACTATATTAATTTATGCAAAATTAATTTCAGTACTGGGTTTTCAATATTTTGTAAGACATAGCCAAACTACTATTGAAGTCGTGTGGCAGCTACCATAAGGAGTCAAGAAATTTCAACGATTTTTATCACACATAACAGTCCTAATAATACCCTTGTTTTCACGAAATTTCAACATTATAGCTCCAGTAATTTTTCAGATAATTCCAAATCACTTTTGCAGTTGTATGGCAGCTATCACAAGTGTTCGTGAGATCTCAACAACTTATAGTGATTAGTTGTCATTTCATCATATTTTATTTCGCAAATTTCAGTACTGTAGGTTGAACAGTTTTGAAGATATAACCAGTTAATTTGTCAAGTTGCATGGCAGCTGCTAGAAGGAGTCAAACAATTTCAATGACTTTTATCAAATACAACGGCCCTAATAATATATTCACTTGTTCGAAAACTCACATAATTTCTTAGATATACCCTAATAAATTTTGAACTTGTATGGCAGCTGCTCGAACCAGTACCTCGATCATATCCAATTTAAACAGAATAAATGCCAGAATTATTATAATAAATTATTTGCGAAAATTTGGCGAACTTTAATCAATTAGTTTTTGGGTTGTCGCTGGGACGGATGGACGGACAGACGGTCAGACAAATCTAAGTCGGGTCAGTATTTGACGCTGATCAAAAACTTATGCTTGGGGGTATATCTCAGACTATTATTTTTTAGTGTTACAAACGGTAAGGCAAATTTAATATCCTTCGAAAATACGTTCGTACGGGTATAAAAAACAAAGTAATAAAAAATTAGAGCTAAAATTCTAATTAAATATTCGTCTACCATTTAAATTTAGTCATCCAGATGATGAATATCATCCTAAATTACCAAATATATTTAATGTCTTTTTTAGATAATTAGTTAGTTATTTGGTGTGTATAGAAGATACAAAAATTGTATATATTTCAATATACATATACTTCTTTTTATTACACTCCCTTTCACTCTACCTTAATAAAACACAAGATTTATTTACAAACAGTTTTATTCAAAGCTAAACATTTAATATATGTATATACGTTATAATGACAATTCTTGAGTTTTTGTTATAATATAAATTTTATTTTTTGTAGTATTCTACATTTAATAAAATTGGTTCACTGGGTGCTAAAATAAATGCTTTTGGTGCGTATGAAATACGGGACACTGTTTTATCGCTAAAAGTTATTTTAAAACTTCTTAGAATAGATGCCAAGCCAATATAAGTTTGCAATAAACCAAATCGTTTTCCTATACAATGTCGTGGTCCTTCTCCAAAAGGTAAATATGTAAATTGAGGACGTTTTGCAATATTTTCTGGTAAAAATCTATCTGGATCAAATTTTTCTGGATCAGGATAATATTCTTCATCATAATGTAATCCGTATACAGAAATAATAACTCTTTGACCTTTTTCAATGATATCATTTGTTTCTGTTACAAGATAGTCACTAGTGACTTCCCTTAAATTAATGGCGACTGGTGGATACTTTCGAAGAGTTTCGTCAACAATTCTATGCGTATAATGTAGTTCCATAATACCCTCATAAGTCCATTTTTCACCATGCTTGCGATAAACGTTTTCAATTTCTTCTCTACATTTCTGTTGTATTTCAGGATGTTTTGCTAATTCATAAACACAGAAACCAAGAGTAGTTGATGCTGTTTCAAAACCTGCTAAGAAAAATATATATGCTTGCGCTGCAATTTCATTAAATGTTAAACGTTCATCCTCATTTGGCGAATTTTTAAGCTCAATCATCATATCCAAAAAATCATTACGTTTAACATTATTCTTTTCGCGAAAATCTATAGTTTCTCTTAAAGCACTCATAAAAAATTCACTAACATCATCTCTTTCTGATTTAACATGCAATTTTCTACATAAATTCGGAAAAAATGTTGCAAATAATCTCAATAACACGCCGATCCTCGGTTCTTCAATAATTTTTCGTCCATATTTTCTGAATTCAGCACGCGGGTCTTTTAAACTATTACATTCAATACCAAAAGCGCAAGTGCCTATTACATCTGTTGTAAAACATGAAAATACTTCCTTCATTTGCAATTCTGTTTTGTCAGTTTTGCTGTTTCTAATAGATTCATCTAAAAAATCTACTAATTTTTCACCAACTTTAAGTACTGTTGGGAACATAAATTTCATTTTTCCAGAAGTAAATGTTGGTGACAATTTTGATCTTAAATTTTTCCATTTCATTCCGGTGAGACTCAATAAATGAGCAGATAACGGATCGTCTTCTTCGTTGTGATAAATATCGCGATCATGAAAGTGTTGAAAATCTTTTATATAAATTCTTTTAAGTAAATCCAAATCTAGTATTAAAGCACACGGATTTATAAACATATATATTCCAACAAATGGATGATTCAATTTTTTTCCAGCTTTATATAATTCTCGAAATCGTTCGCCAATCATAACCGTATTTCCAACACCTTTCAAATTACCATATGGAATATCTGGTTCCAAATATGGAATTTTTTTGCGTTTCCAGTAAGTAAAACGTGTTTTAAGCCACACGTACGTTAAAATTAAAATTATAGCTATGAAGATTAAAATCATTGTGAAAAAATATATGCGTTTTAATGTAAAATTACAGCAAAATTTAGAATTTAGAATTGTTCAATTTCAAGATCAAAATGTAACTAAAAGTGTTTATATTACAAAACAAAACGATATTGCAGAAGTGCTTTTAGCAAGTATGTTTGATTTACAATTACATACACAAACTAATTTCTGCCGTCATCTATAAGCAAAGTATAAATTTAGTTTCCACACAGCCAGAAATTGTAAAAAATTTCACAAAACGATCGTTCAATTCATTAAACTAAGAAGAGGTTGTATTTTGTATATTAAATGGGTTGTGTTTTATTTTCTTTATGGAGTACAAAATTAATTTATTTATAGTATGTATTATTTTTCATAATTATATTGTATTGTGCTTAATAAATAAAGCGGGTTTATGTAAACCAAATATACTGTGCCGTGGATACCATGCACAAGAATTCTCTTGTTGATAAACAAAACACACTTACTACAATAAATCCGAATACAAATTTGAATATTGAAGAAATAAATAAAGAAACAAGAAATAAAAGCTTTATAAAATTAGAGCTTTAGTCATTTATTTACACTCTCCACTTCAAAATGAGAAGCGTTTGTTTACCAACTAATTTATTTATAACTATTAATTAACAATAATGAAATTTTATAGAGAATATTTGTTTAAATGACTTTTAGTTACGTAAACTGCAATACATTGTGTAGTGCACGAAATTTTGATAATAAACTATTTTCTCATAGTTTTAAGTTATCAAAATGCATTGGTGCTCTCAATTTTCACTCAAATTAGCAGAGGACTTAATATAAAATAAAAAATCGAATGTGATCAGCACATAAGCGACCGCAACGTGTGTTGTCTAGTGAAAAATGTCTTTTAAACCTTTCTTTCCATCTCTAAATACACTAGTACGCATTAAGTTAACATAATGAGAAAAATGTAAAATTGGCTCTTACAAGAGCTTTGTACCATTCAAATTTTTTGAAAACGTAACCAGTTGGTTTCAGCAACAACCAGAAATCAAATATTAAAATTGAAGAGATTCCATGTGCTGGTTTCGTAGGTATGGTAAAAAATGTAAAATTGACCCCAAATTCGATTTTTGAGACCTGATCTCAGTTAAAACAATCAACCTATGTTGTAACACTATTAATTTAAGTTTTAGTTCAGCCGAACTTCAGATACACGCGTTCACCCACAGGTTGACAGACAGACAGACTGACAGCGAGATAGACACCTCTTTAAAAATAGTTTATTTACACCCAGTATGAGGAAGTGCGATTTCACCGAAAACTTGATATGCAAAATTCGGTGTGATCACATCACCTCCCTTATAGTATGCAATGCGGTCAGTATAAAAGTCGAGTAGTGGACCATTTCTCTTTTCCATGCTTTGTCTGAGAAGAAAAAGTAAATATAATAGAAAAAACAAATTATTTTGAGTAATAAAAAAGTTTTATTTACTGTTATCAATTTTATTTTCTCAAAAGTAAACGACTCTGTTTGTCAACATTTCAATACTTCAGACATTTATGTATGTGTAAGTGATTGATTACGTTTTTTGTTTTGTTTTTTTTTTATCAATTTAAATCAAGTGACATCATGATAAATGTTATGGCAAATATTATATTATTGAAAGCTTTAAGCGAGTGAAATAAAATCACTCAAAATCAATTGATTGTATACTGGAAGTTGGAGTATAATTCAAGTTAACAAAAAAAAGATTTAATGATAATTTAATATTTTGAAAAGCAAATTTACTAAAGTGTTACATATGTATATGGATGTGTAATGTATAACAAAAGTTGAAAATTGGAAGGTATAATAAAAAACTCATTTCAAATCTTAGAAATAAGCTATGGAAATAAAACTTGAAATGAGTACTTTTTTGGTAAGATTATAAATTTTGACAAAGTGTTAAGAGTGATTAAAAAATCTATTTTTGAGAATTAAGTAGGGTAGCCTGGATTTCAATTCTTCAACGTATGGAAAATAACTGGACTTCAAAAATAATCATAATCATAGTAAAACATGAGATATATTGTAAAAACATTAACAATATATGACAAGAACTAAGCAAGTTCATAAAAGAGCTAGACACTAGAGTTGTGACATTCAATGACATTCAAATATCATAGAGTTGAGTAATTTTGTTCAAAACAATCGATTTCCTTCATTTTGTTTACCTTTTTCTCAATAATTAAAAAAAAGAGACATGCACATGAATTTTAAAATTTCAGAGAATAAGTAAAAAAATAATAAATTGGAAATTAATTCTCTCATTCCACAGTTTTTAAGAAGTTTCGAAGATTTTAATACAAATCGTAAATGATATTAATAACATAAGTCCAAAATAAACAGAGAATAAATGTCAGTAAGTCTTTACCTGTTTCAATTTTTTAAAAAGAGAGCAATTTCCTTGTTACTCAGTTTTCTTTTGGAACTCATTTACTCTTTTCTTTTTGAAAAAGAAATTTCACTCTTTCAATTAATAATAGATTTTTTCCATAGGTAAATTTCATCAATATTTGAAACTTTAACAAAACGAGAAATTTTAACAAATAAACCAGCCATTTCCCTAAAAAAGTACCCCATAAGATTGATGATCAAACAAAATAGGTATTTGTGATTTTAATATTATTTTTTCTTTCTCGTTATAATTCTTTTTTTGATTAAATTAATATTTATTCAATTTAAAAAAATAAAAAAAATTCTGGTTTTGTGTGTTTCATTCCGATTTCATCATGATATTCATATTTTATGTGAAGAATACGCAATCTATTGGGTATAAATTTTCATTTATTCAAGTCATTTATATTTAAATTAATTTTGTTGATTTTGTTTTTATTTTAATAAATGAATAAATGATTGAATGAATTGAAATCGAAATATTCTTTTAATAAAAATTCACTGGCTCTTTTGATAAAAATTGTTGACATCCATTTTTTCATCTTTTCACTTTGTTTTTTGGTTATAATATTTTTTTATGTCCTTTTTTTGAATTTTTTTATTCTTAATAATTTTTTGTTTTACCCCAGATATTGCTGAATTGTTTGTTTAATTGGCCAAACCGAATATACATATATATTTCATTTATTTTACTTTTTTGAAACTCAATCAGAATTTTCAAAACTTTTGTTTTTTACTTGAAATGAAATATTTATTTTATTATTTGCAAAAAAAAAAAACGGAATGGAAAACGTATGAATGAATTACATTGAGTCCTCGAATTTTAATTAATTCAATTTTAAATGTACAATTGGAATTTGAATTTTGATCAATGTGAAATATGAGTATATTAATATTGGTCTATAATAATATGATTTGATGAAGAATTTAAATATGACATGGATGCAAATGTAGGAATAGCAATATGGAAAAATGAAATTATATTTAAAATTTATTTGAATTAAATGGTGCATTTAAATATTGAGGAGGAAAAATTTTGAAAATAATGAGTTGGATGCCAAGAAAAAGTGTTAATAATGAAATGAATGAACTTATGAATGAACTTTTTGCAATAGATTTAATAAAATTTTAGGGTTTATCTTAGTTTAATCCTAAATTCACTGGAATGGAAGAGTTTTTTATTATTAAAATCAATGTAACAAAAAGGACAGAGATTAAAAAAAATAAAAATTAAATTTAAGAATTTTTTAAATATTAGGCTAGTATGCATTACACAATTTTATAATATTTTACAAAATTTTGAAATACGGACGAAAAATAAAGCTTAAATTTGAAAAATAAAAGTAAACAGCAAAAATTTCCCGGATAATTTGCTTTTTCGAACATAAATGAATCCATAAATGTTGGGAGGATCAGTGTTGTTACAATTTAATTTCATTCATGAGTAACCAATTTCAAAGTTTTGAAAAATATTTTAATTATATCTGCTTTAAAAAAATTTTTTTTATTTCGAATTGAATTTTCGCGAATGTGTCTCAATTCTGTGGTAATGTTGGAATTTTTACTTTCATCCAATAAAAATGCGGTTTAATGTTAATATTAGAAATTTAATTTAATACAACAATATTAAAATTAGAAATTTTGCATTTTTCATAAGCAATCACATATTGTTATTATTATCTCGGAAATATTATTTAGTTTTTGAATTGAGTTTTAAACATTGTTGTTGCCCCTAAAAGTTGGCAAAATATTGATTTTCTAAATTTATCTGCGTAAATTTTTCTTCTACTTCCAACCGCCTCTTTTCTATCTCGAGAGAAGCTCACAATACTTTTCCCTTTTGCTTCACGACTTTTGCACACTTTGCTGTTTATCTTTAAAATTATTGTGTTTGTAAACGTTTACTGCTCTCGTTGTGATATTCCGAGTACCATTATCTAAACAAAAGGATACATGATATCATTGTAAAATGATCGATATCTGTAAATAAGAAATAAAAAAACACAAAAAAAAAATTTAAAAGAAAAGGAATAAGAATTTTCTTTTTTTTTTGTCCTTTTTGTTCTCTTAAAATTTTTCGTGTAAAATAAAACCATAAATTTTCTATTAGAGTGTAAAATAAAATAAGGATTGCGAAAAAAAAATTTCATTGTTTTTTACATTTCTCTTCCGTTTCTTTTTCTTTTTCGATTTTTCAATATTTTCTTTTAAAATTTTTTTATTGTTTTATTATTTTTTCGTTTTATTTTTTTGTTGTCGATACTTTTTTATTTTGGAATTCGTATTTAAGTGATTTGATACATGAAAAATAAAATAAACACACGAAAAACAACATTTTCGATTTCGAATTCATATCACGTTCAACAAATCTCAGAGTCAACAGCTTTAAAATCGCCCTTTAAAAGCTTTTGTTCATTTTATTCGTTTCAGAAATTTTTTTTTTTGTTCTGCCTTATTTTTTTTTATTTTATTTTTGTATAATTTTTATTTTCTATTGTTTTTCATATATCTTTTCTTATGGTATATAAATCTTAAAGGCAAATAATTTTGTTTTTGTATTTTTACATTTTTTTTTATTTTTTTCAGAATTCCAAGCCGTCACCAAAAAAAAAAAATGCCAATGCCAATGCCATTTACCAAAAATTTCCAAGAACAAG